TTTTGCTCAATAAATGAAATATTATCACAATACTCCCCTGAATTTATTTCATATTGGTGAATATGTAGTCGTTATTCTTTGACAGCTGACAACGGCTCTGCAGAAATATTTTCCTTTATAAATGGGTATTATCTCTGAAATCAAAAAGAAATATTATTATAATTGTCTTATACATTTATTGATCCTTAATGTAATTTTATAGCCAAAATTGGCCTCTGAATAACAAAATAAAATAAATTATATATACATAGCTTTAGACAATTGAAAAAAAATTGACAATTTTATAAATATAATTATTAATTTTAATTATAAATAGCTATATAAATATGTAAAAAAAAATGTTTACCTACTGAAAATGAGTTTCAATAAACTGTCTTCTTCTAATATTTCCCCTTATTGATGGTGCAATATATCTTTGTACTATAGGTTCAGATGAATATTGTTCAATGCTATCTCTCTCACCAGAAAACACATCTTCTCTCATGTCGATGGCCATATTGTGTAGTACAGCACATGCAACAATTGTTTTTTTTGCTGTTTCAATATCTCCAAACATACCTCTTAATAGGCAACGAAACCGTTGCTTCCACAAACCAAAACATCTTTCCACTGTGTTCCTGGTACGGATATGGCTCCTATTATATCTTTCTTCTTGTGGTGTTGTGGGGTTCAGCAGCGGTGTAAATAGGTAAGGGGTACAAGGATAGCCACTGTCACCAAGTAATATTCCAGAGAATGCACCAGCCTCAAACCTCTGTTTTAGTCTACATTCTCGGAATATTCTGGAGTCATGTACACTACCACGCCACCTGGTAACAATGTCCATGATTTTCAGGTCAGCGTCACAAACCACCTGTAAAATAAGAGCTCATTAGTACTTTATGTTTTTCTGGTTTATTTTAATATATATTTATTACCATAAGATAGTCAAACAAATTATTTTCTATTATGATAAAGTAAAGTTATTAAGAGACAATCACAGCTATTTAAAATATTTGTATATTACCTGTACATTAATTGAAGAAAATCCTTTTCTATTAATATATAACTGACCCCCATCAGCATTCACTTTCTTTACTCGTATGTGAGTACAGTCAATTGCGCCAATTACTGTAGGAAAATTAGCAATACTGCGAAATTTCCTAATGGTTTCCTGCTGTTCATTTAAAGTAGTAGGCATTTTAATAAATTCTCGGGACTTCCGTGACAAAATTTCCGCTACTTTTTTACATGTCCTACTTACTACTGGTTGAGACACACCATGTAAATCAGCTGTATCGTCTTGAATCTACGAATAAAACAATAATATGTATTATCTGGCTTTTTATCTAGCGTAATGTTAGGTACATTGACCCCACCAAGATTATAAACAGCACTTACTTCATGGCGAGCCCAGTTGCGTAATGCACAAACCACTTGAATTTCAGGACTCAATGGGCATCCTCGAGGGTCGTGCACTAAATCCTCACGTAAGATACCCACTATTTTTTCTCCGAAACGTTTTGAGAACCTATACTTATACCTAAAATCTTCGTCACTCAATTCAAACGGATTCACACGATGTCGATGTCTATCAGGTCGCCGAGTAGTGTCTAGCATGTCCAAATCTTCTAGATCCATCAAGTCAATCATGTTAATATCCATTTTTAACGATTTTAATAACACCAAATGAAAACAACGCTCACCTCAAATTAAGAAGTACCGAAATTGAGGTTAGTATAGAGTAGAGTACCACAAACTATATAGAAAGGTTAGTACCATAGCTAAACTAGGGGTCTCGAAAGATTAACTTTAATACCATAGATAATCCTTGAACCAGAGATAATCTTCGTTTTGTAATAACGTTTTTCTTAGTTTATGGTTTAAATATATTACTAACTCCAGTACTATATTAAGTCCGTGTTTTGGAATAAGGCGGATTATGTCTTCGCGCATGGGTGGTAAATAGCAGAGTCGCGCATGCGCGGTTTTTGTTATCATAGATTATACGTTGGTAGAATGATCAGTATAAGTAATTATTTAGATTGTATTGTTAATTATATCGAGTACAATTTTTTTAATTGTTATTGATTTTGCATATGTGTTAATTTAATATAATATAACATAATATTATGTAAGAATTACATTTAAATGATATTTTATTTCATATTTTAAAAGGTAAATATGTAAAAATATACATTTATTTTCAAAGATCATTATTATTACTTTTCTAGATTTTCTAACGAATTTATACGCAGCTGGTGAATAATAGTGTAAAATCAATGCAAATTTACGTAAAGGTGCGTTTAATAAATAATGTGTGCTCTGTTTATTATTTTTCGTTAAAAAATTATGTAACTCTATAACTTCCGCTTTGCCAGAAACAGAAACAGAAACTTTTTTATTCAATATAGATTATAAATAATACTTATTGAAAGTCACTCTTTTGTTTAATTACCACTGGTTCGAAAGAAAAACCTCTGTCCTGGGAAGATCCAGCAAGAAACCTAGCGGGACTTTTTTTTAAATAACAGTTTACAATCGTGTATGTTACACAAATTAACAACACAACAAATTAGAAATAGCTTGGTAGCGATCACCTCATTTCCAGGGGTTATTATCATCCATAAATTCTTTAATACTATAATAACCCTTTTTATACAAACTTACTTTAATAAAGTTTTTGAACTTTGAGCAAGTCAAATTTTATATATTTTCTGGAATTTTGTTGTAAAAGCGTATACATCGCCCCAAGAATGAATTACTGACTCGATGGAGTCGAGTAACTGGTACATTATCGAGTAACTGGTACATCATTATGGCCATTAAATCAATCTCAGCATTTAAGTTGAGACCGATTTTATGTTTCAAATTTTGTACAATTAATTTGTAAGAAGCACATTTTTTCTTTAGATAAATATTTTGTCTTTGTATTCTCTTAATAATTTGTCAGTAAGTTTCTTTCTAGCTGCAGATTCCTTGCTATTAAATACAAACACAATATTACAACGAGCTCATATTTTATTATTTTTATAATGACCTACAATTATTGATTCCGTTACAAAGGTAGAACTATATTTAAACGCTTAGGCTTCGTATACATCACCCAAATTTGGCTTAGGAGACATCACTTATATACTGAACATTACAAAAAAATTCATTCGTCGTCTAATCACAAAATAAAACAAAAATCTCAGCAATGTTATATAAACAGTATGAACTGTATGAGAATGCATGGTACTGCTGATTTCTTTAAGTACACTTTTCCTGTTTTTGTGGTGTATTTGTCGTTTTCTTTGAACTGCACGGGACATATGCGTGAATAATCTGACGTTCCTTCGCTGCAATTCTTCTGAAGAAATTTTATCCATGATTCTTTTATTTCATGACACTGACGAGGAAACATTTAAATAAAAATAATAATGATAAATATTAATTTTAATGCATTATCATTTCCTACCGTGATTATATATTAATATTTTAATGTTCATAATTACTTAACATTATACGTTGATAATGTCAAGTCTGCGCATAATAATGTTTTTTGACATTCATGTATACGTTGCAGTTGATGAAATATAATTAAATTAACCGTGTTTTAAAGCTATTCCATGTTGAACTTACTAGTGAAAAGTTACTCCTTGACTTTTACTTATGTTTCTCGAGTTGTTTGAACAGTATCTCAAAGCACACGGAGACATATTAATTTAAAAATAATTTTTCACTCAAACGTCTCACGTTGCAGCAATCGCTTGACATAGACTAAGTGAGTTTGAGCGCGCGCGCTCTAACGCATGTTACGAACAATCGATTTGAGGCGTCTCCTCTAATACGTAGTACATTATAACTCAATGTTTATAGTACACTGCTTAGCAATATGTAGATGCATCACATTGAGTAGTTTTTTGACGTAACGCTCGCGTCGATAGCGGTTTTTTAAACACAAGTCTAAGGGAAAAGAACGGTGAGACGAATTAATGTTGTTTACACATTCGTTTTCTATTTCATTTCGTAGCAAACAGCCTATCAAGCAACATAAACAAAATGGACGGGACCAACAATAAAGTCATGATGTTTTTGAAGTTTTACAAAAGTCAGTCAGTCATTTGGATTTCGAAGCATCTCATCATAAAAATAAGCAAAAAGTATACAATGTTTGGACTACATTCAATCGTTCACTAATACTCCCATTACATCAGAAGTAATGGTAGTACCAGTGAACGATTTAAAATAGAACAAAACTTTTTTGATAGCTACTTGTCGTACGTCGTCCATTTCGTTAAGCTGAAGTAGAAATGAGTAGTATGAATAAAGAATTGGATTATAAATGACCCGCCATTCTTCATCGAGCTCGTACCGTCAACATGCACCCGCTAATAACGATATATCATTTAAACGTTATATTATTCGGTTAATTGAAAAATGTTCTACTAACAAGAAAACATTTGAAAATAACTGTATAAGCAAGTAGGAATATTAATTTTAAAATAATATTTAGTTGAGACAACCCCTAGTATACATGTAAAATATTTTGATGAAAAATGTATTCACCAAAATCATGCGAATTATCAACAACCTGATTTTTCTATCTTGCGATATTTACATAAGGAATTTTCTTCTCCCTTGCACAGCGGGCCGTGTATTATTTTATGAATGGAAATTGAATTTGTCCCGTCTCTTTCTGTTTCTGACTTTGTCTTTGTCTTGTCATTGTCATTATATTTTTATATCGCAATCGCAATAATAAAACGTGCGTGTGGACTGTTGAGGCGAATTTCCGCTAGGAGTAATAGTGTTCTGTGAGGCAAGTGCGGTGTATTTAATTACACAAGGCGAGTCCCACGTTGTCTTAAATCTTATCGGTATTTAGGCTTGCTTAGATAATTTATTTTGTTATTGCTGTCGCACAAACCACGAGCGACGGATCGGAGGTCATTTGTCTGTTGCTGATGAAATCAACTATAATACTTGAAGAAGTAGTGAATAAATTAGATCATCTTGCTTCACCCCTAACTACCAGAATGCCGAACATCAAGGTTTTCAGTGGAAGCTCTCATCCTGATTTAGCGCAAAAAATCGTCGATCGCCTAGGAATCGATCTCGGCAAGGTGGTAACCAAAAAATTTAGTAATATGGAAACATGTGTAGAAATTGGTGAATCTGTTCGTGGGGAAGATGTTTATATTGTGCAGAGTGGCAGTGGTGAAATCAACGACAACTTGATGGAGCTTCTTATTATGATTAACGCGTGTAAAATTGCGTCGGCGTCCCGCGTCACTGCTGTTATCCCGTGTTTTCCATACGCGCGACAAGATAAAAAAGACAAAAGCAGGGCTCCCATTACAGCAAAACTTGTCGCTAACATCTTATCCGTGTCTGGCGCTGACCATATTATTACGATGGATCTTCACGCGTCACAAATCCAAGGCTTCTTTGACATACCCGTTGATAACCTATTTGCTGAACCCGCTGTTTTAAAATGGATCAAAGAAAACATACCAGATTGGAAAACAAGTATTGTAGTGTCTCCAGATGCAGGAGGTGCGAAAAGGGTGACGTCTATTGCTGATCGTTTGAATGTGGAATTCGCTCTTATTCATAAAGAAAGAAAAAAGGCAAATGAAGTGGCATCAATGGTGTTAGTAGGTGATGTGAAAGATCGTACAGCTATTCTGGTGGATGACATGGCAGATACATGTGGAACTATTTGCCATGCAGCGGAAAAGTTAATAGAAGCTGGTGCAACTAAAGTGTATGCAATTCTCACTCATGGCATTTTCTCTGGGCCTGCAATATCTCGCATTAATAATGCTTGTTTAGAGGCAGTAGTGGTTACAAACACAATACCACAAGAGAGGCACATGCAAGAATGCCCAAAGATCCAGTGCATTGATGTGTCTATGATGCTGGCAGAGGCTGTGCGACGCACACACAATGGTGAATCTGTCTCATATCTATTTTCTAATGTTCCATATTAGTTTAATTTTCACTTATATTTTATATATATTTGGTCTACAACACTAAACAATAATGTTGCTTGTGATTGTGTATTTTAAGAACATTCATAATTTTATTTACTGTGGCATAACATCATGATCATGCAATTATGAGCTTTATGTTCTACTAAGTTATGCAATAGTTTTCATATCTCTGTTGGAAACCTAAAACGTTTGCTTTAGGTATACAATAATCTCGATGAATTAAATGTAAGTGTAGAATAATCTGAAACATTATTCACAAATTATTTTTCCAAATATAAATATATTTTGTCTATGGTCAAACTGCTATTTGTTAGTAAATTTTAATATGATATGAATGAGACAAAATAACAAATAATTTTTCATAAAGATAAAATTTAGTTTTTCAAATGATTTTGCATTTATATATGAAGTTTAGGTTTTAGTAACACAGTCCCCTACTCAGAGATAATCCTGTGTTTAAGCAAAATTTGAGTGTACTATGTTCTACAAATTTTTAAATTATATTAATGTTAAAGACTCGCGGAAACAGGAAGCCCACTGTTAGCGAGCTTAACATTAGTACAGCTGACCCACGGTAATCCGACAAACATTTTGCAAGGCGATATTGGATTATCAAATAATTTGGAACTTTTAAAAAATTAAAAGTGAGTACCTTGTAATCTGATAAATTACATAAGTATTAATTATAAAATAATAAAAAAGTCATGTGATGCACAATGAATACCTAAACAGTAAATGATTAATGCCCGCTAGGTTACCATAGTCACATTTAAACTGAGACAATACGCATCAACCTATATTCATGGTGCTGAGAAATAATTGCAGCCTGTTTGTCCACACATATGTGAATGACACCTACCCTGTGATAGATTCAAAATGCAGCTCAATTGTAATACAATCTGCCCCCAAAAAGGGGGGGCAGATTCGCCAATGACTGGATTACCATGGGTCCACTGTATAGACTTGTTGTGTTGAGTTTAAGCTCAAGATTGTCGCTGAATACTAGCCTTAGTTTAAAAACACAATCCTTAGTTTTTCATATCTGACAAGTCTATATTTAAAAAGACATTGCTAGTATCTAACATATGTTTTAAGTTTCTTGTTGTCTCTTTCTGATGCTGTACCTTGTTGGTTAATTTTGGAAATCATAAAAATAGGGTAAAACATAAGTGTTAAGATAAAATATACAAATCCTTAAGGCTTTTCTAGCTTTGATGTAGTTTGTTCTTTAATTCTTTATAAATACTTAATTTTACTTGGACAGTGATTAAATTTCTACTAAAAAAAATGAAATTAACAATTTATTTTCTTCATCTCTTAAATTCAATGTACTATTTAAAGAAGCCTGACTATTGGGCAATGGTAAACTGTCCAAATGAAATTCAAAATTATGTGTTTTAAATAAGGTTATTTGCAATATAATGTCTACAATGCAATAAGGATAAGTGCCGAAGTTTGTAAATTTTGAAACATTTTTTCTAAAAGTTTAAAACCACAGTGTGTATATTTGGTCCGTATAGGAAAAAATAATTAGGTAAGAATAAAAAATACAATTGCCATTCTCTTTAATTGTTTTTTGGTGATCATTGTTCATACAAAGGAAACTATATGGTAAAGCTTGAGCTGGCTTTACTGGAGAAGAACAATGTTGCTGTGTTTCGTATAGTTAATAATGATAATAAACAAAAATCCTTTTTACTTGTAGTGGAAGGCATTTTACAATTTTTTAATACAAAAATGGTGATAAATGAATGCTCACCAATGCCACCAAATGGTAAGTGGATGCTGTGGTCCATAGACATCTACGTTTATCCTCAATTAAGAATCAAAATGCAGATGTGTTGTCACTCCCGAGCACTGTAATGAAATGCCTCGTTTCCAGTAAAAGGAGTCTCCAATTATCCACACTCACCATACGAAACACAGTAGCAATAAGCTGCTATTTTACACTGGTATTCAGTGAGAGCGGGGTCCTACCTCGATTAACCCATTTGTGCTACAACCATAATATAGCTGCAGCATGGATCTACCACTTAAAAGTATCTTAGTCTTTAGAGGTGACATCTGTTTTTTTATTATTAATTGAGAATAAATGTGTCTATGGTCTGCAGCACTCTACTGCACTTAACATCAGGTGGACTGTTTACATTTGTCATCAATATTTAAATAAAAAATATAATAATGTTCAGAGGCCTAGTGATCAGTGAATGTGGACACTGTGTCTCGGGTCCTGGGTTGGAATACCTGCTACCTTTCCCACTTTGACCTGTTTTGGGTTCGAAAATTGAGGAATCTTTTAAAATTGTTTTATACAGATTTTTTAAATGTCGTAAAAATTGGAAATCAGTAGACTACTAGTGATGAATACAATGGATGCCCAGAAAGTGGAGGCTTATTTAATTTAGAAAAAAACCATTTTGTATAGACTGACATTGTCATGCAGTAGTAGTGGAGCAATGAACAAATTTCAGATGACTAAGTGTGGTAATAGGTATTTTAATTCCAGTCTCCAGCTAGGCTAATATGTTTAGTCTCCAGTAATCCAAGAAGGTCCAATATTAATAATTCATTTTTAAAAGCAATACAATGTCTTAGAATCTCGCAATTTGAATTTAGAATTTCAAATTGAATAAAAGATATCGAATTTGAAACTATAGCTATTATATATTAGAAAATTATAATAAAATTGTTTGATGAATAATGGTAACAATCAAGCACACAGTCCACCTGATGGTAAATGGATGCTGTGGCCTATAGACATCTGTATCTATCCTTGAATGCATTGTCACCCCCTGAGGACTAAGAAGAAATTACTTATTTTCAGTAAAAAGGATCTCTGGTTCTCTACACTCACACTAGATGATGTGGCCCCTAGATATCCTCATTTATCCTCAATTAAGAATGAAAATGCAGATGCGTTGTCACCCCTGAGGACTAAAATGGAACCCTTTTTTTGTGGAAACAAAGTCTTTCCAGTAAAGGGATCTCTGGTTCTCTACACTCACCATACGAAACAGCAGCATTAAGCTGCTATTTCACGCTGGTATTCCGTGAGAGCGTTTCTACCCTTGTCGAGCTGACTTATATGTGCTACAGTCATAATATAGCTGCATCATATCAAGTCATATGTAGGTATTGACCTGTAAAGAATATCTCTTACACAGTAAACATTGAATAACATCACAATATTTACTATGTATTCATAGCAATTCATCTTGTTATTTAATATGAATTCAGTTACATCATATATTTTACATATCAGTCTGAACAATTAAATAAGTTGTGTTCACAACCGTCACTCAAAAACAAAAACGTGGCAAAGCTCCAAATGATCTGTGCCCTGCCAAATACGCGTATCACATTAAAAATATTATGTTCTATATAAAGTACTCACTATTTTTATTACAATAGACTATTAATAATTCATAGTCGATATTATTGTAATTAGTGATTACTTAAAAAAAATGGTATATTAAACAACCATCTGGACTAGTGGTTAAAAAGTAACTGACTCCTACGGCGTGACCTTTCGGATCCTTATCGGAGTTTTTGAGCATAAATAAAAATGTTAGTTTATTGTTCTGTTTGCGTTGCTGCTAAGTCCTATTCTACTTCATAGATAAATAGATATGTAGCAAGGTCTACCTTATTGCACAATCGTTACATCGAGCATAGATAATTTTGAGTTAAATGCATCTAGGCTGAGCCATTATCCTTATTTCTTCATTCCTCAAGTCCGCTGCAGGATATAGACCTCCCCCTTTTAAGAAGAATTTGCCTTAATCGTCACGCATAGCGAGCAGATTGACGATTGCTGTGCCAGATGAAAACCAGCGTAAAATAGCAGCTTAACGCTGCTGTATTTCGTATGGTGAGTGTAGAGAACCGGAGACCCTTTTTACTGGCAAAGTGGCATTCCATCTTAGTCCTCACGGGTGACAACGCATCTGCATCTTGAGTCTTTATTGAGGATAGATGTAGATTTCTATGGGTCACAGTAACCACTTACCATCAGGTGGACTGTGTGCTCGTTTGTCGCCCTATCCTATAAAAAAAAAGATGTATCACATCTTTATTGCTGGTCTGGGTATATTACGTCTGAAGAAGATAAGATGGTAACACCGCCATCTAGCGGATGTCAAGATTTTTCTGGCATTTCTTATAGTCTTACGACATAAACTGAACAAAATCATTACAGCCCATCAAAAGTCCACTGCTGAAAAAGGCCCCCATAGTTTGATAACCGCAGTTTTTTATTTTCTGTGTTATTAGAATGTCGCTGCTGTCCCCTACGATACCCAGTAGTGGATATTTCGTACACGCGCTTGATAAGACGAAATAGGGCGATGGATTCTCATAGGCCGCCAATGCACGGTAAACTCATTAATAATATAGTAATTTAAAACTAGTTAACACGCTTATTATAACGTATTATACTTATTACATCAGGGCGATATCAGTCATACTTGACCGGAGGTCACCAGCAGTGATGTTTGTTTGTGGGTGCGTCTATCGCCCTGTCGTCATCCAATACGTAAAGAAAACAAACTACTGTTAAGTAATTAACTTTTTTTTATCGAATTAGGGTGACAAACGAGCACACAGTGCACCTGATGGCAAGTTGTTGTTATGGCCCATAGAAATCTGCATCTATCCTCGATTACGAATCAAAATGCAATGCGTTGTCACCCGTGAGGACTAAGATGGAATGCCTCGTTTCCAGTAAAAAAGGGACTGGTTCTCTACACTTACTATACAAAACAGTAAAATTAATCTGCTATTTTGCACTCGTATTCTGTGAGTGGTCGATTCATGCTACAACGTACCTACTAGTTCTGTGCTAGGTACTATAATCGTTAATTTTCTTTACATATAAAAATTAAGTGTCACGTTGTTTGTCCGCGATGAACTCCTAAACTACTATACTGATTGCAATGAAATTTTGCACACTGTGTAGTTTGGTCCAAATTGAGAGATAGGATAGTTTTTATCACGAT